TTTTACAGATTGTGGTTCTTTTGATGTATGGTAGAAAGTTTCTTATTTCCCTTGTTAGGTGCAGCTGAACAATGTTTCTACCATTACTAAAGTGAAAACTTTGCCTATCCAAAGGTCACAAAGACTTTTTAAAATTTAAATCTGTTTAAAGTTTTGTAAACAGCACACTATATAGATCAACGTTTTTATTTAAAAAATGTGTCTATTCCTATGTTTATCTGGTAATTTCAGAACTATTTTTGTAAAGACTATCTTTTCTCCACTGAATTACCTTTGGAAATTTGTAGCATACAAGTGTTCTAGATTTGTTTGTTGGTCAATTTTTTGGTACTCTTTTCTCTTTCAGATTTTTCTCTCACACAAATTTCACCCTCTGTTGATTACTTAAGCTTTATAATAAATCTAGAAATTAGGCTGTGTTAGTCCTTTAACAGTGTTCTTTTATGAAGTTGGTTCTTCTAGGTCCTTTGAATTTCTACAGAAATTTTAAAATCAGTTTGTCAATGTCAAAAAAGAAATCTTGTTGGGATTTTGATTACGATTCTGTTGAATCTATAGGTAAATTTGAGGATAATTGACATATTAACAATAGGAAGTATTCTGACCACCGAAAAAGGTACGTTTTTTCCATTTGTTTATGTGATTCTTAATTTCTCAGTAATATTTGTATTTTTTAGTGTGTCTTTCACATTTTTTCTCTCCAGGTTTTTCTAAACATTGCTTTTGATAGTATTATTTTTAGTACTTTTCATTGCAATTTCCAATTTTTTTTGTTGTTAGTATATATAAATAATAATTTTTGTATATCCACCTTGTATCATACAACCTTGATAAACTCCCTTATTACTTCCAGGAGCATTTTTGCAGATTTCATTGAATTTTTTATATATATGATAACGTTAACTGTGAATAAAGACAGTTTCCCTTCTTTCCTTCCAAACTGAACATTTTCATCCCCCACCCTGCCCATTCCAGTTGCAATCCCTGATTTTCCTTTGAATAGCATCAGTTAAATTTTTATCTCTCTTATGGTGTTTCAAATGATACCTATGAAAAAGCTTTTTTATAAATGAATTATAGACAAATTCAGCTTGCATTATTCCTTAACCATATCATTTTCTCATCACAGTTTTTTTTCCTGTACATTCTTATCGATTTTTAAAAAGAAGGTTTCTTATTTCCCTTGTTAGGTGCAGCTGAAATATGTTTTCTACCATTACTAGCAGGTACATCTTAGTTTCTCCTTGTAAATGAGGCGTGATCAATGCATTTCTTCCCTTTCACTCCTTCTCTGTAAAACAGATGCAACATATATTCCTCTTCAGTTTCTCATTAAATCAAAGTAATGGATTATGTGTAAATCAAGATAATCTATATAATGTGATTTCGTATAGTGTCTGGCACAGAATAAGCATACAGTAAAGTATTGTTATTTTATGTAGCATTACTACAATTGGAAAATAAAAATACTCTACATTCAGTGTATAAATAATGGAGAAGCAGAAATCATACAGATCTATTACATGTCACAAATATTTTCATTTATCGATTATAAGAATCTGTTAAACTCTCAACATACTTAGTAGATTTCATAATGTGAAGTTGGTAAGACCATTTCGATATGGATTTATTTTTAACTTTCTTACTTGGAAAAATTGCATGGAATGTATGTTAAATTCAAGAGCCAATGCTTCACAATTCTCTGTAACAGTATTCTAACTAGCAAGCTCATATGTGTACTCACTTATCTAAAATGGGTGAGGGTTTGACTAAAACTTCTATATTCTAAATAATCCCAGAGAAAAAGACACACTGAAGCTCCTAAAAGTCAACTGGGCATCTTCAAAGTGTTTCCTGTGACTGTTCATTAAAACAGTTTTTGCACCATACAGCCACTTCATTTTTTCCATGTTTCAAATTAGAATATTATATAAAAGACTCCTATCCAGAATACATAAATAATCATTAAAACTGAACAATAAGACAACAAAGAACACAAAACACAGTGTATAATACATAGTAATTTAACATGTATAGAGATAGACAGCTAAAGAAATAATTATAGTTGTGTGCACATATTGGTTAGCATATACATGCATATATTCTATAGCTCTGTCTGCTGAGAAACTAGAAAAAAATGACTCATTCCTTGGAGAAATGAGTAATTCTAGGCCTGGGGCATTGAAAACACAAGATGGGGCTGGAGTATTATGTGATGTCAGAAAATACAGAAGTTCTCAGAAAACAAAAGGATAAAAGCAGATCAGGAGGCAAACTGAAAGAGCACTCAATGGCCACAGTTAAAACAATTGAAGCAACACAAGAATTAAAATTTAAAAATTATAACACAGTATCAAATAAAATATCCATGAGTCCATACTGATATAAATAATTGTACAGATAAATAAATGAAAAAAGGTACAAATCTGTCTTACAAAGAATTTCAAAAAATACATAGATACTCCTCCCTCCAAGAGGTGGAATTTAAACGCCCTCCACAGAGAGTGGGCTGGATTCTAAAAAATAGAATATGGAAAGGGAAAAATAGTGACCTTTTAGTGGAGAAGCCTGGCAGTTCTCTCCTTAACCAAGTGATCAATGTTAATAGCAGCAGTGAGAAGTCACGTTGGTATCATGCACTCCTCTGATAGGATGTGATGAGAAAGACATTTCATCTCCATAGTATTCTTCTCTAAATTCCAGAATTCTAGTCTAATGAGGAGAAAACATCTAACAAACCCAAGTCCAGGGACATTCTACGAAATTCTGAAGTACTCCTCCAAACCATGGGGCCTTGGGAAACAAGTAAACGGTAAGAACCAGTCATAGACTTTAAAGAGACATGAGAACTAAATTCAATGTGGTAGGCTGGTTTGGATCCTGGCACCAAAAAAAGGGCATGGGTGTAAAAAATTTACAAATCTGAATAAAGTCTGAAACTTAGTTAATAGTAATAGGTCAATATTAATTTTTTAGTTTAAATGCATGTACAATGTAAGATATTAATTTTAGGGGAAGCTGAGTAAAATGTGCATGAAAATGCTCTGTAGAGTCTTTGCAACTGGTTCATAAATCAAAAATTATTCTAAAATAAAAGGACTTCATTTTAAACTATATATTACATCAGGATAAATTATCAGCAAATCACTATTAATTATACAAGAGAGAAAGCTGTAGCTTCTTTAAAACGCATACTTGTGGCCAATCTCACACCATATATAGTAAATCATAAATTTTTCGATGTGGACCCAGTCATCTACATTTTACATGGTCTCTAAGTTACACACACCAATATGTGAGTATTACTTTTCCAAAGCTCTGTGCCTTTTATAGGCCCCAAAGTCTTTCAAAGAGTTTAAAAACCACAGTAGTTATGGTATTATCCAAAGTCACCAAATTTGGAGAAAATTAATTTTCAGCAAGTGCTACATGGGAATGTGAAAATGAGATAGTGGAGCCCGTGGACAAAACAGTTCACTTAGATAACATGTACATACCTGGTGTGCCCACAGGATAATGAAGTCAAGATAGAAGAGTAATGAAGATACAAAGTTTGGCGAGTACCAACTGGGAGTGAAAGCACCTTACTTGTCCAAACAGCCCTTCTTGGGTTAAAGAAAACTGACATTACTATAGAGTACAAAGAAATTACAACTGGCCTGTTCAGTCAACAAGCAACAACTGTCTTAGTATGAAGTCTTACTCCAGAAATGAATAATGCAGCTTACAAGCAAAACCAAAACCAAAGAGCTAATAAATAAATATTCAAGGAAGTCAAAATGTTCTGAGCAGAGCAGCACGTAATGAATAAGCAAACAAGAAAATGAAAACAAACAATGAAAATCAATGTGATGAAGTGCATTGGTCTAATGGAGCCTAAGCAGTCCCAGTTCTGACACCTTAGTGTGCCTCTGACTGCTCTTAGTTACCTACAACCTTTACTGCAGGCTTAACTCAGGACACCATTTTCATCCTCCAGCAGACTCAAGTTATCCACAAGTTTGCTGCCTCTTCTACCCACACACAGCCCCTGCCAGCCTTTCTCAGATACCTAATCATTTTCACTCTGATCTGACCCACTTTGGAAATATTTTGTTTTTATTAGCTCTAGGTAAGTTTACTTTCTGTGATGGTTAATTTTCTGTGTCAACTTGGCTAGGTTATGGTGCCAAATTGTTTGGCCAGTCTAGATGTTGCTGTGGAGGTATTTTGTAGTTGTGATTTAACATTTTATGTCAGTAGACTTTGAATAAATCAGATTTACCCTTCATAGGATGGGTGAGCATCATCCAATCAGTTGAAGGCCTTTAGGAAAAAGACAAAAGTTCCCCGAGAAGATGGAATTCTCCCTCCAGACTGAAACATAGGACTCTGTTTGAGTTTCCAGCCATTAGAATCAAGACTGTAATGTCAACTTTTGCCCGAATTTGTGCCCCACAACCAGCTCTGCAGACTTTGGATTAGCTAACCCCACAGTTGCATAAACCAATTCCTTCAAATTTGTCGCTTTCTCTCTCTCTCTCTCTAAATATATGTATACACACATAGACACATACACACATGTATATATCTTATTTCTGTAATTATGTAGAAACTTTGTTTCCTATTATTCTATGTATCCCCTCTCCCCTCTCTCTCTATATATATTTATACATATGTGCGTGTGTACACACACATATATATCTCCTAATATTTTATTCTTTCTGGAGAACCATAGTACACTATTCATTTTGATTGTTTTTCTAACATAACACTGTACATATCTTTTCTTATAATGATACATACTGCATCAATTTTATCACTGCTATAACCACTAACACTTTTTCTCAGCAAGGTATAAAATATATTTAAGGCATAAGATACAATATAGACTTAAAGCTGCTAACATGTAGTGATAAGGACTAACAATGATTCATCACTTGTTTCCACACACTGTTGTAGCATTTTTCATGTATGATGTCACTTTTCAAAATGTACCTAAGTGTAATTTTGTTGGTTAAAATTTTATTTTTATTTTTAATTGACAATTATTTTGTATATTTATGGGGTACAATGTGATATTTTGATACACATGTACATTGTGGAATGAGCAAATCAGGCTAATTAACATATCCATCACCTGACATGCTTATCATTTCTTTGTGGTGAGAACATTTAAACTCCACTTTTAGCAACTCTGAAGTATATAATATGTTATTATTAACTATAGTCATCTTGCTGTGCAGAAGATCATCAGGACTTATTCCTCCTGTATAACTGAAACTTTGTACTCTTTTACCAACTTCTCCCCTTTCCCTGCCCATCTCCTCCCACCCACTCCAGCTTCTGACAACTACCATTCTACTCTCACCTTCTATGAGTTTGACTTTTTGAGATTATACGTATATGTCACTTAATACCATCAACAACCTTATAACATAGGCACCATTACTGTCTCTATCATATCCAGCAGGGAAACTGAGGCACAGGGAGGTTGAGAAACATGTTCCAGATCACACAGCTAGTCAGTGGCACAGCTGGGGTTCCATCTTCCCCAGGCCGGTTGCCAAATCTGTGATTTCCATTGGTGATTGTCATATTTTAATGTGCATACAAACCCCAGAGATCTTGTCAAAAATTAGCTTTTAGCTCAGTGGGTCTGGAGTGTGGCCCAAGATTCTGCGTCTCTACTGAGCTTCAGGTGATGCTGCTCTTGCTGGTTGATGGAGCAGACTCCAGCACAATACTCCTAATTATATTTTTCCCTCAATTTTATGGGGTTGCCTGTCAACAAATTTAACTGTTCCCACAAACTTCATGATTTTAATCATTTTTTTCTTGTACTGAGGATGACTTCTTCCACAGGTGCAAGAATACCAGCTCTCTGGTTTGTAGGTTATACTGAAGGAAAGAGTCACTTCCTGGTGCATCTCCTTGCAGGTTTAAGGAATCTGCTGACATCTACTGAATGAATGAGCAAATACATGGATTTCTTTTTCTTCATAGATGTAATTTTTCACTGTATACAGCAAGATTTTAGAATTCCTTTAAAGGCCCAAACAAATCACATCCCAGCAGTTTTAAATTACTGCATGATAATTCCAGAGACACTTTATCATTCCCAAACAGAAAAGATGAGCCTGATCATCATGATGCCATGCCCGTTTTAGAGTGATTCAACTTATTTTACCTGTATCACATAGTTTCTCTTCCGACTCTAAATTAATTTAAATTAAAAATGATCAGACATTTTCTTTATTTTCTAATCACAATGATTTAACAGACCTACTCCAAATCATCCAGAAAGCTTTAGATATATGTTATTTATATCTTTTCATCTGTTAATATACATTCCACTAAAACCCAAACTTATTTTTATTATATTGAAATAGAACATAATTCATAATTTTTTTGTTACACAGCAAATGGAAAAATAAATGCAGTAAAAATTATTTTAAATGAACTTAATTATTAATTTTACCAATAACTGTACTCCCAGTGTTCTATAAGGAGATTGTTTTAATGGAATTTTATTAAATGTATTGGCCTTTCAATGTGAAAATTATAGATTGATTTCTTACTAACTTCTTCGCTATTACACTATTGCTGGTTAATTTAGAAAATGTTTGTCATGTGATTGGCTATAACACAATCTACAGTGGATTTTCTCCAAGTGACAGGGAGGTCCTGTAGTTTCCCCACATGGAGATGGCCTCTTGGTAAACTGGTCCAACAGTTCAGGATGTGTCCAAGTGTTTCTCTTCATGATTCAACTTCGCAAGTTCATCTCTGACCACCAGTCAAGTACAATGTCTTGATTGTTTGGTTTGTCTCATAAAAATATAAGTTGTTCTCATTACACACACACACACACACACACACACACACACACCCCTACCTGTGTGTATAAAATACACATGCACACATCAATGATCTCTTCCTAAGTATTTTCTTTATGGTTTTAGTTACTAGGGAAACCTACCAAGTTAACAGACCCATTATACTTGGGGTGCTAGCCACTTGAACAAACTGAATTTTCAATAAGTATTTGATGTTTCCTTTTGCAAGCTGAACAAAGGAGTGTTTTGTGTAAGATTAGATTTTCCTTTCTGAATGGCTTTCACCATTCAACAAACCAGAGAAATGAATGACTTTGGCCCATTAAAGTGTGAGTATTGCTATCTGGGTCATAAAGAAGATGTTTCTCAGATGAGAGACAAAGTCTTACGGACTTCATTGGTGAGAATATCATCTAAATGAGAGGTGGCAAAACAAATATTGTTCATGGCATTATGTGTGGTTAGCTGTTACTGTGCTCATCTGCTGGCTAAATTGCTTTGTGTGAAATGGATTCCCTGTGCTCAATGGTGTGTTGAAATCTGGTGTCTATGGCAACAAAAGGATTACCAATCTCAAAGTAAGCATGTTGGGACCAACTGAATCTCCACTCACACAATGACTGTAGGAAGGAATCACATTTCTAATAGACTTTACAGCTATCTAAGGCCAAAGAGATCCAATGCCCAACCAGAAAGGATGTATTGTCCTCATGCATATTTCAATAACATAATCTTGCTTTTTGAAATGTTTTTTTTTCTTGTGAGGCAAAGAGAATTGCACCTTTATTACAAATTGCAATTGTTGAAATAGTCTGGACTCTTAATGAAGAAGACATTAAAACACGATATTTAGGAACAGCTTTTTCAGATTTAGGTAGCCTTGGGATTATCTGACTGCACTGCGGTATCTGGTTGACTTTAAGGAAGTTACTTAGCATTTCTGAGGCTTAATTTCTTCAACAAAATGCAATTCAAGCAGCACCAACCTCATAGGTGTGCTATGAAGGGCCACTAAGAATGTGTGATAATGTGCTTGGCAGAGGATGCTCCCAGGCATAGACTAAGAATTCCCTATGTCAGCCATGATTTTGAGTATTGGTGGGCTTCAGCATAGGGTGATGAGACAGTGTACGTACATTTACACTGGGATGGAGTACTTCTCCAAATATCAGTATCTGTGGTTCTTTTTTCTTGACTCTGTCTGAGAACTATAAACACTCCTTCAACCTACTGCTTGGTGGAGACAGTGGCTGCCAGTGTTCTGGATATTGATTCTGAGTATTTGTGTGCTTTAGCATAGGTACTAAAGCACTCTGCATTGATTAACTAGCATATGTATTCTTTTGGATGTTCAGCCAGTCTGTCTAATATTCCCTGTGGTGATATTCAGAACTGCTATGTCCCTGATGGCAACAGCAAACCTTTGAGATTTTCACACAGAGGCCTTAAAGAGCTGGAAGGAAGTATCCTCTGCTCTGCCATGCAGGAGATTAAGCTGAGCTGCTCAGGCAGATTATATGTCAAAGTAAACCGAGTGGCTGGGCATCACCCCTAAAACAAGAACTTGTATGAATTACTCTGTACTTCCTCCAGGGAAAAGGCTCTTCCCTTTTTAAAACTGTAGGATTTTCCATCTTATAAGAATTGGCTTTCATGTCTCTCTGATTTGTGCTCCCTGGAGTAAATCACCTGATTGGCTTGAAGATACTGTAAATTGCTATGTAGGTGATGCTGGAATACTTGCTTCTTGCTCCGTTCCCCACTCCGACCCCCATATTCTCAGTGGTGGATTCCATGAGCTATTTTTTGCTCTTAAGTTCTCTTCTTTGTTTCTAGAGATAATTTGCTTACATAGCACTGATTCACAATTTCAGAGGATTTCTGTAGTGACATTGTCAAAGTAACAACCTCAAATGAGTTTTCCTCAGCAAATGTTCCAGATCATGTACATTTTGTTTCAGAAAATGATTAATACAGTTATGGATTCTTTCAAGTGTTTCTTCAGCTTCTGAGCTCATAATTTTTTTTTCTTGCATTAATGCACTTCTTTATTAGAATTTGAAAACTATGTGATACAGACTCCCACAGTTTTACAAACTTAAATCTGTACTTCACTGTTTCATTCCTAGCTCCTATGTATATTCATTTGTCACATAATGCTATTGATATTAACAACTACACTAATAATAAAGCTATAATTATGACTTTCTCCTATCCCTAATTAGGGGTCGGGGTATCATGTCTATTGATTAGCTCTGCTTATGATCTTTACTATCACACCAACTGGGTTCTA